CCCCCCCCCACACACACACCCCATTTTCATCCAATCACAAGTAAAACTTAACCCAAATGTGATTCATCCACACACGTGTTCCCACACTTCACATCAGCCACACGTACAGTGTAATTGCTTCAAGTATTGAATGGTTCATTGGATTGTCTGTGGCCCCTACCCTCATCACCTGGGCATTCATAAGGTAATTGCTCACATTTCTAACCCCAACAAAGTTCTGGCAAGTTGGGAACACTTGGCAGCCTTGTGTTTTTACCTCCAAAAATTACTCCTAAGTTGGTAATGAGTTCATTAACAAAGAGGAGATCACCCCATGAGATGGCAGATTCCCTTTTATTACAATCCAGGAGGATGCTTATTTTGACTCTTCTCGACTCCCAAAAACAGTGTGTATTGAGTTTCACCAATTCCACCACAAAAACTAATCACATATCCCCCAACATTGCCCAAAATGGGCCAAAATAAGTGTTGAATATGTGCTTAAGACACCTTCCTTCATTTCCAAGAGATCTGGTAACCTGTGCGAGATTTGGTACGTATCTGGGAGACTCTGGAAATCCAGGAAAGTTGGCATAGATGTAATATATCAAACACGGAAGACAGTATTTGACCACATTTCCAAAACACCGAGAAGAGAGTAGTGGAATGTTTTTGACGAACTTTGAGGAGTTTGGAAATGTGGTCAAACACTGTCTTGAGTGTTCAATATATCTTCTCAATCGAAACTAAAACTAAGGAGAACACGGAGAATTAAAATCATAAAAATCTATGCTAATTAAGATTAGATTTCCAAACACCGTTATGGTCGTGAGTTCCTTTGTTTAAGCTAGATGAATGATTGAGTTTGAGAAGTACATGTACATGTACCCAGCCAAAAATAAATGCAAGCATGCTGTTGAGTGTTGTCAAATGAATACAGGTTTTAGTTTTAATTGCCACTTTCTCAAGTAAATATCTCTCTCTCAACAAAAAATTTATCTTTAAGAGACTTTAAGAATGTCCTGAGCAAACCATTAATGTAAATATTAGGTATATATACATGTAAGCTAGATAGTTGCATTAACCGTAAATGGCTAATTGTATTTTATATTTTACTACGAGTTTCAATGTTTTAACTTTATATATCTTTAGTTATATATTTTTAGCTTTGAGAGGTTTTTAATCAATGCTGTAATAATTTTGGTTTAATTTAATTTTTTGATTGCTATCATTTTTTTTTTCAGGACCTCCCTGAAAACCACATTAGTGAGTGGAGCCTCCTGTATAAAGATGATGATGATGATGATGATGATGATGATGATGATGATGATGATTATTATATTATTACATGTATCTCTTGGAAAAAGTAAACAATTATCCAACAGTTCTCATGTTCTTCTGGGCAATTTTAATTTACCTGACATTGACTGGAATGCTATCTCACCATTTCAACCTAATCAGTTGTCCAACTTTTTCTGTGACTGCATTGTTAACTGCTTTGGCTTAATGCAAGTCTTTGATAGCCCAACACGCTCCGAGTCAATCTTGGATTTAACATTAACTGACAGCTTCGAAAGTATTACAGTATTATTATATTGGCCAATTAGTCTTGGTTCCTCAGATCACAGAATCATTAACTTCACATTTATTACAAAAGTAGCACATCCATTACAATCATCTAAAGTAGTTTTCTACTATAAAAATCCAAATTGGAACAGTTTTTGCACAGAGTTAACTAGTGCCACCTGGGATTCAGTCTTCGCCAACAACAACATCAACGATATATCTGGGACAGATGGAAATGTCTTTTCTACAAAACCATTCGCAACAACATCCCTTCAAAGAGAATTAAACTTATGAAAAATGTTCCCTGGATAACTTCCCAAATTAGAAGATTAATTCACAAGCGAAAAATTAATGTCTCTGGAAGAAAGCAAAAGCTACAAATGACCAAAATGATTGGAACATTATTTGTTATAAATGTATTCTGCTCATAGTAATGGCCACTTCATAAGTGCTGTATCAACCTCATGTTGCAGGTATAGTGTGTTTTGTAGAAATTCACTTAATCACTCACCTCCTTTGACCTCACCATTGGTACAAACAGCAGACATGGACAATGTTGTCAGAGTAGTTACCACAGCAGACAAAAGCACAATGACAGTAGCCAAACCTATCCCAGCATGTCCAACAA